TACTAAGTCCAGGCAATACAAATTTTGAATAAGTCAATCCACACATGATAGCCACATGGTTTTAGATACATCAATGAATGTACTTTCGAATGAAATATGACAATCTTAGATGTCATCTAAACTCAGCGATAAAAATCGCTTTGAGTGAGCCACATTGAAAAAATACCCATTACTAAGTCCAGGCAATACAAATTTTGAATAAGTCAATCCACACATCATAGCCACATGGTTTTAGATACATCAATTAATGTACTTTCGAATGAAATATGACAATCTTAGATGTCATCTAAACTCAGCGATAAAAATCGCTTTGAGTGAGCCACATTGAAAAAATACCCATTACTAAGTCCAGGCAATACAAATTTTGAATAAGTCAATCCACACATCATAGCCACATGGTTTTAGATACATCAATTAATGTACTTTCGAATGACATATGACAATCTTAGATGTCATCTAAACTCAGCGATAAAAATCACTTTGAGTGAGCCACATTGAAAAAATACCCATTACTAAGTCCAGGCAATACAAATTTTGAATAAGTCAATCCACACATCATAGCCACATGGTTTTAGATACATCAATTAATGTACTTTCGAATGACATATGACAATCTTAGATGTCATCTAAACTCAGCGATAAAAATGAGTGAGCCACATTGAAAAAATAACCATTACTAAGTCCAGGCAATACAAATTTTGAATAAGTCAATCCACACATGATAGCCACATGGTTTTAGATACATCAATTAATGTACTTTCGAATGAAATATGACAATCTTAGATGTCATCTAAACTCAGCGATAAAAATCGCTTTGAGTGAGCCACATTGAAAAAATACCCATTACTAAGTCCAGGCAATACAAATTTTGAATAAGTCAATCCACACATGATAGCCACATGGTTTTAGATACATCAATTAATGTACTTTCGAATGAAATATGACAATCTTAGATGTCATCTAAACTCAGCGATAAAAATCGCTTTGAGTGAGCCACATTGAAAAAATACCCATTACTAAGTCCAGGCAATACAAATTTTGAATAAGTCAATCCACACATGATAGCCACATGGTTTTAGATACATCAATTAATGTACTTTCGAATGACATATGACAATCTTAGATGTCATCTAAACTCAGCGATAAAAATCGCTTTGAGTGAGCCACATTGAAAAAATACCCATTACTAAGTCCAGGCAATACAAATTTTGAATAAGTCAATCCACACATGATAGCCACATGGTTTTAGATACATCAATTAAAGTACTTTCGAATGACATATGACAATCTTAGATGTCATCTAAACTCAGCGATAAAAATCACTTTGAGTGAGCCACATTGAAAAAATACCCATTACTAAGTCCAGGCAATACAAATTTTGAATAAGTCAATCCACACATGATAGCCACATGGTTTTAGATACATCAATTAATGTACTTTCGAATGACATATGACAATCTTAGATGTCATCTAAACTCAGCGATAAAAATCGCTTTGAGTGAGCCACATTGAAAAAATACCCATTACTAAGTCCAGGCAATACAAATTTTGAATAAGTCAATCCACACATGATAGCCACATGGTTTTAGATACATCAATTAATGTACTTTCGAATGACATATGACAATCTTAGATGTCATCTAAACTCAGCGATAAAAATCGCTTTGAGTGAGCCACATTGAAAAAATACCCATTACTAAGTCCAGGCAATACAAATTTTGAATAAGTCAATCCACACATGATAGCCACATGGTTTTAGATACATCAATTAATGTACTTTCGAATGACATATGACAATCTTAGATGTCATCTAAACTCAGCGATAAAAATCGCTTTGAGTGAGCCACATTGAAAAAATACCCATTACTAAGTCCAGGCAATACAAATTTTGAATAAGTCAATCCACACATGATAGCCACATGGTTTTAGATACATCAATTAATGTACTTTCGAATGACATATGACAATCTTAGATGTCATCTAAACTCAGCGATAAAAATCGCTTTGAGTGAGCCACATTGAAAAAATACCCATTACTAAGTCCAGGCAATGCAAATTTTGAATAAGTCAATCCACACATGATAGCCACATGGTTTTAGATACATCAATTAATGTACTTTCGAATGACATATGACAATCTTAGATGTCATCTAAACTCAGCGATAAAAATCACTTTGAGTGAGCCACATTGAAAAAATACCCATTACTAAGTCCAGGCAATACAAATTTTGAATAAGTCAATCCACACATGATAGCCACATGGTTTTAGATACATCAATTAATGTACTTTCGAATGACATATGACAATCTTAGATGTCATATAAACTCAGCGATAAAAATCACTTTGAGTGAGCCACATTGAAAAAATACCCATTACTAAGTCCAGGCAATACAAATTTTGAATAAGTCAATCCACACATGATAGCCACATGGTTTTAGATACATCAATTAATGTACTTTCGAATGACATATGACAATCTTAGATGTCATCTAAACTCAGCGATAAAAATCACTTTGAGTGAGCCACATTAAAAAAATACCCATTACTAAGTCCAGGCAATATAAATTTTGAATAAGTCAATCCACACATGATAGCCACATGGTTTTAGATACATCAATTAATGTACTTTCGAATGACATATGACAATCTTAGATGTCCTCTAAACTCAGCGATAAAAATCACTTTGAGTGAGCCACATTGAAAAAATACCCATTACTAAGTCCAGGCAATACAAATTTTGAATAAGTCAATCCACACATCATAGCCACATGGTTTTAGATACATCAATTAATGTACTTTCGAATGACATATGACAATCTTAGATGTCATCTAAACTCAGCGATAAAAATGAGTGAGCCACATTGAAAAAATACCCATTACTAAGTCCAGGCAATACAAATTTTATATAAGTCAATCCACACATCATAGCCACATGGTTTTAGATACATCAATTAATGTACTTTCGAATGACATATGACAATCTTAGATGTCATCTAAACTCAGCGATAAAAATGAGTGAGCCACATTGAAAAAATACCCATTACTAAGTCCAGGCAATACAAATTTTGAATAAGTCAATCCACACATGATAGCCACATGGTTTTAGATACATCAATGAATGTACTTTCGAATGAAATATGACAATCTTAGATGTCATCTAAACTCAGCGATAAAAATCGCTTTGAGTGAGCCACATTGAAAAAATACCCATTACTAAGTCCAGGCAATACAAATTTTGAATAAGTCAATCCACACATCATAGCCACATGGTTTTAGATACATCAATTAATGTACTTTCGAATGAAATATGACAATCTTAGATGTCATCTAAACTCAGCGATAAAAATCGCTTTGAGTGAGCCACATTGAAAAAATACCCATTACTAAGTCCAGGCAATACAAATTTTGAATAAGTCAATCCACACATCATAGCCACATGGTTTTAGATACATCAATTAATGTACTTTCGAATGACATATGACAATCTTAGATGTCATCTAAACTCAGCGATAAAAATCACTTTGAGTGAGCCACATTGAAAAAATACCCATTACTAAGTCCAGGCAATACAAATTTTGAATAAGTCAATCCACACATCATAGCCACATGGTTTTAGATACATCAATTAATGTACTTTCGAATGACATATGACAATCTTAGATGTCATCTAAACTCAGCGATAAAAATGAGTGAGCCACATTGAAAAAATAACCATTACTAAGTCCAGGCAATACAAATTTTGAATAAGTCAATCCACACATGATAGCCACATGGTTTTAGATACATCAATTAATGTACTTTCGAATGAAATATGACAATCTTAGATGTCATCTAAACTCAGCGATAAAAATCGCTTTGAGTGAGCCACATTGAAAAAATACCCATTACTAAGTCCAGGCAATACAAATTTTGAATAAGTCAATCCACACATGATAGCCACATGGTTTTAGATACATCAATTAATGTACTTTCGAATGAAATATGACAATCTTAGATGTCATCTAAACTCAGCGATAAAAATCGCTTTGAGTGAGCCACATTGAAAAAATACCCATTACTAAGTCCAGGCAATACAAATTTTGAATAATTCAATCCACTCACATTAGCCCACTGGCTAATGTGACGTTAAAAAATGGTTATAAATGGTTATAAAAATGGGTTCGAAACTGTATTGTAATAAACGGAAACACTCAGGCACTGGAATCATTCAGTAAGAAATGTGGGAGCGGGCCAAGGTACCGAAACAAAATTTATTTCTTTAAATGGTCATCCGTTAATATTAAACTAAGGGTGAATGTTTTACTTGACTAACCTTCTCCTTTCACACAACTTCCTCGGGAACCGGAATTTTGGACACATGAAGTTCAAAATCCAAAAAATGTTTTAAACTTTGAAAGATCAAGAAGTGATATTTCTTGTTTGGACGAACACACTACATATTTCTTCCATTTCCGGCGCCGCAGGCAAAAATTTTGAGAATTTCGAACGCTCACCTGACCTTAACCGTCCTCAAATTTTTTACTTTTTTAGCGCCGCAGGCGAAAATTTTGAGAATTTTGAAAGGTTAATGCGCTAAATTTCTTCCTTTCTCAAGCGCCGCAAGCTAAAATTTAGAATTTTGTAAGGCCAAAATCGAAAAAAATTCACTTTCTTTGCTTCGTTGGCTAGAATTTTGAGATTGATATTCGCGGATTTGGCGCATCATATCCGTATCTATCCGTATCCGTCCGATTTTTAAAAAAACAGTATCCATATCCGTCCGTATCCGGATATATCCGCGGATATCCGGATATTATCCGTATTCGTGCACAGGTCTGATTTAAAGATTAAAACTGGTCTGTTTTAACTTCTAATGATTATTAATAAAGAAATTTTATTTTTAATAAAAAAATATAAATGAGAACATTCAAGAGTCGATAAATGATTTAAAGTCATACATAGTTATTTTAAATGATCAAATATATGTATTGTTGTTTTTGTTTTATTATTCTAAATTCACTCATATTGATATGAAATTCTCTGAAAAATAGACAAAAATTATTTTCAATAATGTCAAAGTAAATGATACCTCAACAACTGACAATAAATGAACAATTCGAGTTATTCTGGACATTGCCCCAGCAAAAGGGTCAGAATTGGATGAGATTGGCATAATTATGGAAGAGATGGAATTTCTGAGAGAATATTGACTTAGAGAGCTTGAATAACTGTTTTGAATGGCTTGCACAATTTTTTTACTTTCCGAGCTCAATTGTGGAACTAAAAATAAAATTTATTTATTTAAATTAAGTTAAAGGCTACCAGGACTAAAAAAGCAAATCAATCTAAGCAACTCAAATTCCAATCGGCTAACATTTAATTCCCGAATTGGATTAACAATTTCAGTTTTTAAGACCTCCATTTTGGAAGGACTTAGTAAAAGTAAAGATATTGGAGGAGATTCTTGTTTTTGTTCTGTTGGAAATAATAATTGACTGGCCAATAATAACCATCCAGAAGGTCTGGAACGGCCCATAACTATGAAATTCTGAAAAAATTTTTAAAAATTTCAAGAATTTTCTTTGGTATTCTGGTACCTTCTCCTGTTCATTAAATAATTCCAATTCATGCAAAGATTGTATCCATTCAAGATAATCACTGAGTAATTTAACTCGTCCTTGGCTGGGTAATCCAGAACTGGTTTCCTCTGTATTTCTCGAAACCATCGAAATTCCAACATTAGGCTCATTCTTGGGTGTCAATCCCTCAGATTCTTTAATTTCAGATTTTCTTTGCCTCTTCTCCAATCTTCTAGCTTTTTTCATTTCCGATTCGGGTAATGTAAAAGCTCGCTGACTTGGACCAGTCCCATCCCAATTTTCATCTCGAGAGCGCAAAGCTGTACTTTTCCCCCAGCTGTCTCTAATCACTAAAAATATTATTTTAATTCTAAAAATTGAATTAATGTTGAATTAGAATTGTTCTAATTGTAAGAAAATATTTTCATAAAACATTCCTTCTAGACCCCTTAGTGATGTCGAACTCCCGAAGCCTCATTGTCCGAACGGGCTTATAATGGGTCTCTTAATTTATTTCCATATTACATCCCCTCTTCAATAATTTCCTTTTAAACTTACAATTTGGATCCATCCCAACTTTCAAGCATCGTTCAAGACGGCAGGCTCTACAACTATTTCGACGACCTTGAAAATTATTTTTTTCAATTATTAAAATAATTTTTTTTAATTTTTTCACCATGTTCAATTTCACATTTAACAAAAACAGAATTGTTGTTAACATTTAAACAAATATAATTTCGACGGCACGAAATTGTACGCCAGAAGAAGCCTTTACACCCATTACAACACCAACTACCATAATGTTGTTTGGCATTTCTAGCTCCACAAACTAAGCATTTGGCCGTTTTAATGAGCATAATTTTTATTTTTAATTAATTATCTTTAAAAAGAAAATTTTTTAAACAGAAGTAGGGATAAGAGGAAGAAATTAGAAACGATAATGCGCGATATGGCCTTACTCAACGGCCCATTAGGATTTCTATATGAACCTAAATTTATCAACTTCAGCAATTGCGAATCGCAATTCGCAATTGCCTCCGTCTCTGATCGGGTGTCAGCTTTGTTAATATTTAATCAAAAATATTGAAGAAAATTAGCCAGATAATTTTCAAAATAAATTAAATTTAGAAAACATGAAGAAAGTTAACTAAGGAATTAAATAAAAAATATTTAAGGCATATTAGTGCATGGCATTTTCTCAATTTCATTAATGGGTGCATTTAAGTGTATGATGTGACCTATTTATAGTCGGAAAGATTAATACATTTTTGATAAAAAAAATTAATTAAATTGCAGAAACCCATTTTTTATCTAAAACAGATAAATTAACGCCCAAAATAATTAAAAATATTTACTTTAAAAATACCAAAATGTGATTATTAACAATTTAAATGTCTGTACTTTAATGCAAAACAGGAAGTAAAAAATGGTGACAAACAAAAACAATAACAAAGTGCATGCAGGCAACCATCTAATATGAGTGTATTTTTGGGGTGTTAATTTGGTGAAAAAAAAAAGAAAAAGAAAGATTTAATGTCGAGATGAACCCAAAGTGTTTGTATTTTATGATTTAATGAATTAATTAGTTAATGAATTAAAAATATTTTTATGAGAAAGGGGTATGATTAAAGTTGACATTTATAATGAATATAACAATGGTCTAGTCATGTTATTGTTAGATGGTATTTTAAACAATACATAATAACAATTATTATACTAACACTAATAATAATATTTGTTATTAATAATAGGTAACAGTTGCCATAAAAGATTTGGTCCTAGTAAATGATTTCATGTTTTAATGTAGGGTTGCACCCGTATGGGGTTTTCTCATTGTTTCAGGGATGCATGCAATTGCGTATTGCGGCAAAGATTTTAAAATTGAACCTGCGGATTGTGTCATCGGAATTTTAAAAAATCCCTGGGCGTGTTTCGGGCCGGGGATGATTGAAAAAAAGTTCGAGAACAAGGGGCATGAGATGCAGCTCTATATTAATGCCCATTTCAAAAGCATTGAATCTTGAACAAAGTTTCAATAACTTTATTCAAAATGAAATTTAGTTTCTCAATCTAAAAATAATAGATGAAGCACTAGAAGTTAATATTTATTTACTAGCAAAGTGAAGATTTAAATAATCCCTTACATTTAAACAGGAAGTTTTTTTGAGAAAAAATGAAAGAAAGTGTGTACTGTAAATATTAAAATTTTAATATGGAATATAAAGATAATTATTTATTTCGCCGTTTTTTATGTAACGCTAAAGCCAAAAGCTCAGAAAAATGAACTCTTTGTCTGTCAGTAGTACATTTTTTACTTCCGCTTTTTATTTATTTGTCCTTTGTTACAAGCTGTCACGGGGTGGGGACGTTAGGGCGTAGTAACAATAGCGCGTTGGCTATAAAAATGAAGCCCCTGCCTAGAACTGTGAAAATTTTCCTGGGATATTTTATAGTAGGGAGACAAAAAGGTTCAAATAAACTGTTAGATAATGATCGGAAATAAAGACCGTAGCAGGTCAAATTTTACAATATAAATCTGTATATTATGATCAACCCCGAACGTCCTAGAAAATTGTATAAGAATACATATAGGCTAAATGAAGATTTCAAATAGGTATTCAGACTTTGAGATCCCATATCCATTACTACTTGCCTAAGTAGACCATGAAGTCTAGTCCGGATACACTATTTTCCTATTCCAGTCCATGAAAGAATTTCTTTTTAAAAAGTTTTGTGGGATGAATCCTCGTTTAAATCCCCTATTTTATAGGCCTTCCAGAAACGCCAAACTAATCCCGGGCCAAAAAACCCTCCCCTCCCACCACGCCCTTTTATTCTCTTTTTTATTTTGCCACTTTCCTCTATAAGGAAATAGCGCCGCTTTTCACTTTTATGTTTTTTTTCCTTCCACGCCCATTTCAACCTCAAAAATATTACTTCCTTGTTTGTGCTTTTGCCACGTCAGTTTGCGTGTTTTGCACTTTACATACAAGTCTCGAATCGTAGAAAAGCAAAATAAAATAAGAATACAATAAAAATACACGGAAGTAAATTAGCAATAAAAAAAGAGAGAAATTAAAAAGCTATTTATTTTTTTGATTATTTAAGCAACTAGAAAATATTTAAATAGAGGGCAAATTATTTTGTTAAGAACACGGAAGTAAAATTTTATTAAAATTATTAGTAATCTGTATAGTAAATATTATCATTAAAAAATGATGGAAATTAATTAGGATTTAAATTATTAATGCAGATTATTTTAAAATAATTTCCGCCTAAAATTTTAATATCATCATTAATACCCTAAACTTAAAGATTTGTCAATTTTAATATTAAATCTAAAAAATTTTTTGATAAATTCTATTCGTATATTTAAATGAGGCCCACCATGTCTGGGATTATATTTAGAAAATATGGCAAAATTCGGAAAATTCAAAAAAGGAGGAAGATGGAGCATACTTTGAATAAGCATGGCATTTCAGCCACTCGGGTGGCATTTTAGCTTAAATAAATACAATTTTTAGATTAATACTGTAGCATGAATTTATTTTAGTGATGGGGATTAATTAAAATATTTGTATTTAAGACATTATAAAGCTTAAATTAATATTTATGTAGACAGAATTTCTGCCTATTAATATTATTGGAACTACTGTATATCTTATTAAAAAATTTTTCAAAAATTTTTTATGAACATTGCGGCTTTTCCTTGGAATTATCTGCCATTAAATTAACCATCTAAAAATTTAAATACTAACAAAAAGCTTAAAAAATCAAAAAAACTATGATGGTATTAACAATTTGTAGATGTAAATTTTAATGGATGGATATAAAATTAAAATTAAAATTTGATAAAAAATCATTTCCGGCATAAATTGTTTAAAGTTTTGAGGTAGAAAAATAAATCTTAAAAAGTAATCTTTTCCTTGTGTTTACTTATCCTTTTTATAAGCTTGCACCCAAAGTACTAATCTCAGCACAAAAATAAGGAAAATATGGAAATTAAAGCTTAAAAATGCCAAAATGATGTTAAATATGTCCAAAATACGTATTTGAATTAGTTTATGAGTTATTATTTTTAGAAATTTAGATTTATTTACATACATGTGGATGAGTAGTTGTTTACCAAAATTTGTTTATTTACTTACTACTTTTTCGAAATTCAAAGTATTTTTTAAATTCTACTTAATATTAAATATTACTAAAAAATTACTTCCTTGTTGTTTAAACAGGATATAGCTTTTTTTATTTCCTTATTTAATAAGCTTTTTTATAAATTTGTGAGGGATAATTACGTCAGATTTATGTGTGGTAATTACAAAAGTTGGAAGGATAATAATTCTTAAAGGAGAATAAAGTATATTATTGTACCAACAAACATTCCAATGACCATTTTATTGAATAATTTATTTTTTATTAGAGCCCGCCAAATTTTGAGACTGGAGTTTAAAATTAAATTAACCCGATTTAAATTGAAGTAATAGCCTTTCAAGAAAAATTTTTTCTAGGAAAATTTTCAAAAATTAATTTCCAAATTTGCGCTCATTTATCTTCATTTGCTATTTTATATTAATATTTTTTTTTAATTGACAGAAGTAAAAAAATATTTTCTTAGAAAAATATGAAAGATAGAAGATGGAATTTAGTTATAATTAATTATTTTTATTATATATTTTCTTGCATCTGGTTGAATCGATTTAAGTTAAAAATCGCTGATAGCGATAATTATTATTGGTTTAGTTAATTATTTAGTTATAATATCAGTGAAGGTCGTAAAAGGTATTTTTATAGGTTATTTTTCTTTATTTACTTTATAAAAGTTACCTAGAGCTACTAATAACTGATAATAATGAAGATTGGATTTATTGGCGCTGGAAAGATGGCACAGGCATTGGGTTAGTTAGTCTAATAGATAGCTAATCTAAAAATCCAAATCGTCTCTATACCAACTTATTTTAGCCAGAGGACTAATAAATTCTGGACGTTATCCTTCACAAAATTTGATGGCAAGTTGCCCTAAGGTACCTTACGAATTAAAATTTAATTAATGAAAATTAAAGACCGATGTCTCTTTATTGGAGGATTGCAAGGTTGTAAAAATTATAAATTAAACACTGCAACTTGATTTTAGAAGCTTGGGATTAATACAACACATGATAATTCACAAGGTGTTCGATTTAAAAACTAAAAATTTACATTAAATATTTAAAGTTGCTCGTGAAAACGATGTGGTAATTTTGGCAGTTAAACCAACTATCGTGTCTAAAGTTGCTTCGGGTAATAAGTTAAATAGTACTGTTTCACCACTAATTTTAGAAATTGCACCAGCCATCCGCCGAGATCATTTACTTATTTCTATAGCGCTGGGTATCAATATATTTCTATCAATGAAATTTGTTTTATTCTTAGGCATCACCATACGCTACATTGAGCAGTTATTGCCTTCGAAATCCCGAATTGTTCGTGTAATGCCAAGTATATTAATTTAGACATTTTTATATTAAATGAAAGTTAAATTTAGATACTCCTGTAGTTGTTGGAGCTGGTGCTTCAGCTTATAGCATGGGTACGTAAATTGATATTTGCATTAATTTTTAATGATTTTTTCCGGAAAACTATATTACCCATATTCTGTAAGCTAAGTATACGAAAAAGTGTTTTCCGGAAATAAAACTAATAGTTTCCGGATAATATTACATTGCCTAAGCTTACGAGAAAAAGTTTTCCGGAAATAATGTTACTCAAGTTTCAGGTTAATATTATATTGCTTAAGTTTACGAAAAAGCTTTCCGGAAAATTATATCACCCATATTCTGTAAACTTAAGTTTACGAAAAGTTTTTTCCGGAAATAATATTACTCATGTTTCCGGATAATATTATATTACTTAAGTTTACGAAAAAATGTTTTCCGGAAATAATGTTACTCAAGTTTCAGGTTAATATTATATTGCTTAAGTTTACGAAAAAGCTTTCCGGAAAATTATATCACCCATATTCTGTAAACTTAAGTTTACGAAAAGTTTTTTCCGGAAATAATATTACTTAAGTTTCCGGATATTATTATATTACTTAAGTTTACGAAAAAATGTTTTCCGGAAATAATATTACTCAAGTTTCCGGATAATATTATATTGCTTAAGTTTACGAAAAAGCTTTCCGGAAAATTATATCATCCATATTCTGTAAACTTAAGTTTACGAAAAGTTTTTTCCGGAAATAATATTACTTAAGTTTCCGGATATTATTATATTACTTAAGTTTACGAAAAAAAAGTTTTCCGGAAATAATACATATTACTCAAGTTTTAGGATAATATTATGTTTTCCGGAAATAATATTACTATAGTTTCCTGATACTGTTATATTGCTTAAGTTTACGAAAAAGCTTTCAGGAAAATTATATTACTTTAGTTTCCGGATATTAAATTATTAAATATATGAATAATTTAAACATTATTGAAATATTTATTTTCTCAGGATCAGCATGTCAAGATGGTTGGTAGAGTAAATTTTCAAAATCTTATTAAAAATTTTAAATTCCTATTAAAGGTGATTCCCAAATCGTTCAAGATCTTCTATCAACCGTTGGTTATGCTGTTGAGGTCTTTATTATATTCAATTCCAAATCAAATAATTTGCAAAAATTTCTTTAGCTTCCTGAAATACACATTGATCCTGTTACAGGACTAAGTGGAAGTGGACCATCTTATGTAACATAAACTATTTTAATTCGGTATAAAAGATTTTGTTTATTAGGGATTTGCTATAATTGAAGGGTTGTCTGATGGCGGAGTTAAATTGGTTAGAAAACTTAAAATTTGATTTTAAATTATAAAATTTGTTAGGGATTACCAAGAGATCTCTCAATGAAATTAGCAGCAATGACTTTATATGGTGCTGCAAAAATGTTTTTAGAGACCGGTGAACATCCAGCAATACTTAAAGAGGCTATCCAAAGCCCTGGTTGGTTTATTAACCCTATTTAGGGATAAATTTTAGATATACAGGGATGAGAGATTTCCAGGCCTTTATAATAAAAGTCAATATTAAATTTCAAGGTGGGAGCACAATTTTTGGCATGCACGAATTAGAAAAGGGTGGATTGCGCGGTCTTTTAATCAATGCAGTCGAAGCTGGAGCCGAGCGTTCCCGACATATGGGCCAAACTTCTTTGCCACATAGCCGAACGTCTGTAATTTATCGCAGTGAAATTTAATGAATTACTGCGGCAAAAATGTGAAGAAAGAAAAGAAAACAATAAATGAAATTAATTTCAAATTAATTTTATGTTGAATATTTTATGTAATAGGAGGTAGTTAGATCCGAAAATTTTTTAGAACAAAATTTTGGAAAAAATTTTTTTGGAATAGTTTAAGCCTGCTGGTAACTTAACTGTTTTTTAGAAATTTTTGATCTGACCACCAATAAATAATATTTTATAAATAAATATATATTTATTATTTGTTTTCTTATCTTTTGGATAAATTTTTGGCTTTCAATATTTTTAAATAACTATAAAAATTTTATAAAAAAATTTCAGAAAGAAAGCAAGAAAGGAAATTGAAGAAGAATTCAGTGATGATGAAGACGATACTTCTTCGGATTCGGACGATGAAAGTAGTGATGATGATGAAGAGGATGAATTAAAAAATAACGAGAATAATGGGAAGAACAAGTCTTTGAAGAAAAGGATAAAGAAAAAGGATTTAGAAAATAATTAAAAGAGTTAGAAGAGGAAGTTCTGAATTTTTATTTTGCCAAGTTTAATATTTTTATATAAGTACATATCTTCAAAAACTAATGTGTAGTTATAGACATAATTTCTTTTTGCGTATTGCAGATAAATACATATACATATAAAATTGTGTGATAAGTAAAGTTGGGAGTAAGTCCTTTTCTTAAGGATTAGGATAGTCTGTGGTGATAAACCTAGGCATTTTAGACATATGTAATCTGTTAAAATGAAGATGAATTCAAAGGGCGGAATTATGTACAAATACGTAAGAGGTCAGTAAGAACGGCAAGTTTATGGATTGAAAATGAGGAGAGGGAATGACTGAGGACATTCGTCATTTTTTCTCCTTATTGTATATTTTTTTACTTTTTCCATATTTCTCATTTTATGTAAACAAAAATTTATTTTACAATAAAGTGAAATCAATAATTTTTTCAACAAAATATTTTTAAAATACAGATGAATAAATAAAACCGAAATGCTTTAAAATACTATGTAGACGTTTTTAAAATAATTCTAAAAATAACACCAAAGCTATTATTTCAATCACTTCTTTTGTTCAAGTAAATTTATCAAATTTTTCAGCTAATTCAAAACAATCAGGACAAGTCTGACAAACCAGAATATTTTTATTTTGTCAAAAAACGCGACAAATTTTGAAAATTTTTATCCCACAAATTTGGCATTGAATCTGCCATTTTAAAGTTTTTTGGCATTTTGTTTATTTTAAATTTTGTGTAAATCGATTTCCTAATTTTCTCAACAAAACTTTTTTCAAATTTTCGAGTTTATTAATCCATTATTAAATTTGTTTATTTCAGTTCTCTACCTCTTAATTCTTGTCAAAATGCGTCCATTACGTCGTTCATCCCGCACCAAAGTATTTGCCGTTAAATTTTCTCCACATACAACTCCATTAAAAATCAAAAGATCTACAAGTATTAATACTTTTACAATTCCATTTAAACAAAAAGAAAGAAGTTTAGCAATTAAAAAAGAGCAGGAAAGGGCTGAAGTTGTAAAAGAGAAGAGGAATGAGGAGGATGAAATGTCGCAGGCCAAAGACCAGTCGCAGTCATTCAAACAAAAAGAGGGTGAGTTTTGTGATTTTGTTTAAATTTTTGTTCGATTGATTATCTAAAAATTATTAACCAATTTAATTTTAAGCCAACCACGGACGCATTAGTGTTGCAATTAAAAACATTGCCCCTGCATCTACTTCCATTATTCAACTTTCTGAATCGTTTAGAGTTGCAGGTCTCAATTGGTGGGGATATTTTATACTCTCCCTTTAATCCTCTAAAAATATTTTTAGGCGACTTCAAATCCTTTTTAATAGAAATACTTTTACTGGTCAGAGCCGTTTTATCTCAGTCTACGTTATTTGTGAGGATTTGCCTTTTAATGAAACCCTGACTGCTCTAATTACTTTTCGTTTGGTCTCGCAAGAGGAAGGATATGCTGGAATGGATAACGAAGTGGGAAAAATTTTATTTTACAAGAAATATCCTCCTTAAAATTTAGATTATTGCACATTTCAATGGCTCTAATCGTTCTGTTGGTATTTCAAACTTTATATTGTTCAAAAATATTTTTGCGGAGGACAGTGAATATGTCAATAAAGATTTTGATGAAGCTCAAATTGTTGCAATTATAAGAGTGAAATCAAGGCAGAAAACGATTATGAGGTGAGGGAATTTAGTTGGAAATAAATGAGGATATTTATACTAGACTTTACAAAGAGTTTTAAGGCTTGTAATTATAAAATCTTATCAAAAATTAAATAAGTTTCCACCTAAAATATGGTTCGGAATAATACGAGTATTTTTGGAAAAATTTCGGAAAACGAACAGAGCGCAAATGGGTCAAATCATATGTCATTCGAAAGAGCTCGTCGAGTTGAGTCGAATGATGAAAAAATTTTCGTGCGGACTCATAGAGGGGCTGAGATATAGGTCTGCGAAAATCGAAAAACCATAGGGGGGACCAAGCACTTTTTTGGGGTGAAAAATTCGAAAATGCAAATAATAGCTTATTCGAAAGAGCTCGTCGAGCTGAGTTGAATGACATCAAAATCACCTCGAAATCTTGATTCTGAGCCGAGATAGAGGCCCAAAATGGTCAACGTAAACCTATGGGGCGTAGGCGAGGCGCTTGTGCAAAACCCCGCGCTTCGCGCGGGGTTTTGCGGCACGCGCCTCGCGGGGAGTCTACGGGCGATGGGTTCTGGGCTCGTAACTTAATCCTATTCCAATTATCGCTGTAATGGGTTATCTGGCTTCCTCCGTAGCAGGTAGTACCTCTACATAGACCATAGGTAAGGAGCTAAAACAAACGATCATAACTTTGTCAAATCAAGTCAGATTTCGTTGATTTTGGTGTCATTCGACTCAGCTCGACGAGCTCTTTCGAATGAGGTATAATTTGCATTTTCGAATTTTTCACCCCAAAAAAGTGCTTGGTCCCCCCTATGGTTTTTCGATTTTCGCGGACCTATATCTCAGCCCCTCTATGAGTCCGCACAAAAATTTTTTCGCCATTCGACATAACTCGACGAGCTCTTTCGAATGACATATAATTTGGCCTATTTCGGATCTGTTCGTTTTCCGAAATTATACCGTATTTTTTAATAAAAATTTCAATCTTTTAACAGTACCAACCAAAAAATTAAATATCTTTGTCAACTTCCTCAAACATCGACTACCCAACTTTCTCGTTTTGAATTAAATAAAGAAAATACCAAGAAGAGAAGAAGCAAATTATTTAACTCAAAAATCAGTGATAAAATCTTTAAATTAGAAGAAAACGAATCTAAAGAAAATGTAGTGCAAAATAAAGAGAGAGATAACACGCTTGAGTCTATAGAAAATAAAAATCCGGGTAAGGAAGTTAAGCTGGAAATTTATTTTTTTAAATTTTAGATGAAAATTCAGTTGCCTTAAATGAATCAGTCAACAATTCAGGGAAGACAAATACTACTTGTGCTAAAAACAAAATAACGGATTTCTTTCCTAGTCGTCGAAGTAGTCGGATTACACCAAGCTTTTTGGATGTATGTTTATTAATCCCTACAAGTTTATAAAATCAAAATTTAATTTTTGTAGATCTTGCGTCTTCAAGTACTCAAAGAACAAGTAAACTTGGCTGTAAATGAGCCCTTTTTGGAAATATTTACCTCAGAAACTAAAGGGAGAGGTTTACGCACACAACTTGCTTTCTCTAAGGATGAGTTTGTAGTTGAATATAAAGGTGTGGTTTGAATAAAATTATTTTTTATTTTAATCAAAAGATTGGACTATATTTTTATTCCTAGCCCATGTTCCCCTTAATCTCCTCAAATCCTTAATCCGCAAAAATCTTTCTTTACCCGTCCAAATATCTGGAGTTAACATTCAGACTCAGTTGCACTCCAGATTCAGTTGACCTCCTTGGAGTTTACCTTCTGAGTTGATCCCTTTATTAAGGCACGATCAGAAATATTGGAAACAATTATTTAATAGTAATTTAGAATTTAATATTTTTAGGGGATATAATAAATATGAATAGAGCCAAACGGAGAGAATATGTTTACTCACTTGATCCAAAAATTGGTTGCTATATGTTTTATTTTACGGTATTGATTTATGAATTTTAAAAATTCAATTTAAAATTTAGCATAATGAAAAGAAACTTTGTATTGACGCTACAAAAGAAACAGGAGATAAAGGACGTTTAGTCAATCACAGCCGTTTGGTGCCTAATTTAAAAGCTAAAGTGAATCGACTATTTTTTAAAATTTTTTACCAAATATACCATTTAAGATAATCGATTTTGGTGAAAAATATCCTCATTTATGTCTAGTCGCAATACGTGAAATACAAATTGGAGAAGAGCTTTTGTTTGATTATGGGGATCGGTAAATTTAAAAAATTTTATTTTCGAAAAATTAAAATTTATTAGCACTGCCTTAACTGTTGAGAAGCATCCTTGGCTTTTAAATACATAAAAAGAAATTTTCTAAAATTTTGGCAAATTGTTGAATTTTTGCAATTTTTAAAATATTTTCTAGATTTTTTGAATCTCAATTTTCTTTTTTCATTCTTTCAAATCTTTGCATTTTTCATGTTTTCTACCTTTCAAATCTTTCATTATTTTACCTCTGATTTTTACCTTTGATTGTTGTTGAATTTTTCAATATTATAGCTTGTGTTTTTTTTTCATTTTTCTTTTTTGTGTTAAGATTAAATCTGTTAAAATTTTTCTAATACTTGGGCCAAAAGATCTCCTTGATAACCGTGATTTTCTATCGTGATCTCGTCTTGGTCCGATCTCTAGTTAACCTATCATTCGAGTGGATAATCATCAAAAGTTAGGTAATTAATTGAGGGGGAGCGGCATTGTTCATATTTAATTTTATCTTTTCAACATATGTATCACAACATTTGATTTAATATTTTTTTAATTATTTAATTCGAATCAATCTCTCTTCTTCTTCAACTTTTATAGAAGTTAATACTTAACATTCTTGAATTTCCGTAATTATAAATTTTTGTTACACTTTCAAAATCAGCGTCAGAATAGTAATCATCCCAGAGATATTCTCCATATTTGCTGGCTACTCTAAGCTGAAAAACAAATTAAGAGAAAATTTTTCAGTATTGGAACTCAGATTTGACAAATACTTACCTTAATTTTATATTTTTTAGGATTGGTATCAGTAGCATTTTTACGTAACATATCAAAATGAACTCCAAAAATATTTGAAATTTTAATATTCGGTAATTTGCCTTTATATATCTCTCCGTCGATAAAAATCTGAAATTACATAATATTAAATTTAAATATTTACTCATTATTCATGTGACTTTGTCGTCTCCCGTTTTTAGAAGATTGCAGATTTTAAAAATCCACTTATTTTTAATAAAAACGTATCTTTCTCACCTTATCGTTCGTATCAATTCCCAGGCTTATAATATCGCCTTTTTCCGATAGTAGTTAACCACCCCACTTTGTTTCCCCGTTTACCGCACATTCCTAAAGGTGTGGGAGGGGTCCGCAAAATTTCTTAAAGGATTTGAAGGGGTTGGGGGCGGAGTCAATGGATTTTAGGGGACTTTCCAAAAGGATTTGGATGGGGCCCTTTGATCTTGCCGCTTTCCCGCAATCCCAAATTGTTTCCCTTTTGATCTTGCCGACAAATCCCAAATTGTTTCCCCTTTGATCTTGCCGCGTGTAAAAATCCCAAATTGTTTTCCCTTTGATCTTGCCGCTTGTTAAAATCCCAAATTGTTTCCCCTTTGATCTTTCCGCAATCCCAAATTGTTTCCCCTTTGATCTTTCCCGCAATCCCAAATTGTTTCCCCTTTGATCTTGCCGACAAATCCTCAAGGTGCGAAAATTCACACCTTTTTTTTCTTTTATCTCGCCGACAAAACCAATTTGCTCCAAAGTGTTGGGAGAGGGGTCCGCAAAACACAAGGGGATTTCCTTTGATCTTGCCGACAAAATCAGTTTGTTCAAAAGTGTCGGGGGAAGGGTCCGAGAAACAAAATTTGACAATCTTAAGGTGTTAATTTTCACACCTTTAAACACTTTGATCATCCAAGGTATGGGGGAGGGGTCCGACGAAACCAAATTACCGCACTAGGAGTGCGGTAAATCGTCAAGGTGTGAAATATCACACCTTTTTTTCCTTTGATCCTGACGACTAAATCAATTTGTTTAAGGGTGTCGGGGGAAGGGTCCGAGAAACAAAATTTGACAATCTTAAGGTGTTAATTTTCACACCTTTAAACACTTTGATCATCCAAGGTATGAAAGTTCACATCTCTAACTCTATTTTTGATGTACTTAATGTGTGAATATTGACACGTTTTTCAGTTGATTAAACTCTTAACTGGTTGAAAATACCTAATTTTATTTGTGAATATTTTGGACTTTTAATATTAAAAATTATCCCTAAACATTCTCGAACCGTGACAACTAATGAATATTACGAATCAAAACCGCTACCTGCTAAGCTACAGAGGAACATTTTTATTGCAATTTTTTGCTTTTTAAAGCTTTTAAAATATTTTTAACATGCATGCATATTAAATTTGTCAAATTTAAAAAGAGCGTCGCTTCTCTTTTTTAAAATGGCGTCGCTTCTCTTTTTTAAGATGGCGTCGCTACTCTTATAATTAATTCATCGAAAACAAATACAAAATATTTTGAGAAATGGTTTGAATAAATGAGAATATTTTCTAAATAATTTCAAAAATTAAAAAAAAATTTTTCAAGAAAATCTTATTCAAAAAAAAAATCAATTAAGGTTTTATAGCAAAATCAATCAATCAACCAATTAAGGTTTTTTAAAAATCAATTCATTAAATATTTTCGGTTTCGCTTCCTCAAACAACTTGAAATACTAAAAGCTAAATGTTTAATAGTAAAAAATTCGAAAATATCTTTTAAAAAAGTATAAACAACCAATTAAAAAAAAGTTTTTTATACCAATAAAGGGATATGGACAAATAAAAGTTAAATTTTTATTAGAAAAACCTAAAAAAATTGAATATAAAAATCAAAATCAATCATTTTTTTAAATTTATTACGGAAAAAAAAATTTTTTTTGCTTTAATTCCCAAAAAGGAATACTAAAAATAAGAGTAAAAATTTAAAATTTTTTAATTCTTAAAAATAAAATTTTTAATTTTTAAAATTGATAAAAATATAAAATTTTTTAAAAAATAATAAGTTAAAGATAAATAAAATAAAAATAAAATTAAAAAATAAAAGATATTTTTGGAGATTTCCCATTCTGTCTCATTTTATGCTACCTCAAGATTATTAGACGTGAACTAAAATGTTTTTCCTCATTTTTTATGTAAAAGTGAACAAATACGGTATAAACCACCATTTTGAATATATTAGATAATTAAAACTGGTAGAGTAATTTACTACATGAGGGATTGTTGCAATAGTAATATTTTCGTTCAATTCATTTATTTGTAAACTATCGTTGTATCTTTTTATACCATAGCGGCGAAACGGTGTTAATCTATAAAATTCAAAGTCTTCAGCATTCGCTCTGGATGATTTTAATAAATGTATTGGACACTCACACCTTCCTGGTATAGGTCCTGTAACGTTAAAAGGTAGATTCAATAAATATTTTGGACATCTACAGGGCTCTTGTTTCCACATATCTTGCCATCTGGGATCATTTACTAGAGATAAATTTGAAGAGGAAGCAAGGGAAAATAATAAGAATAATATTATGATAAACATTTTGGTTAAAGATTACACAAATCGAGGTCTTTTATACCATTCCTAACAAAACCCATGAGAAAGTTATATTACGACTTCGCTTGTCGAAACGGTCTAGCCCATGAACCGGGTTGATTGTTCTACTTAAAAGTTTTATGATTCACATTTGTTTATGATTCACATTATTAATCATCATCACGCCAATGAACTAAAATTTTTTAAAATTTTTAATAAAAAATCAAATTTGTTACAAATAAGATGGTCCCTAATAATTTATTTTCGAAATAGATGGGCAAGTTTTTTCTATTTTTATTTCACCATTTATATTTCTTAATTGTATTTTTAAGATTTAGACATATTTGCATAATAAATTAGATTTATTGCAAAAATCCTTTGATCTTTTTACTAATTTGTTGCATATTTAATTAGATTTGCATATTAAATTAGATTTTTTAAAAATCCTTTGATCTTTTTATTAGATGCATACATATTTAATTAGATTTGCCATTTTATTATTTTATTAATGTTTGCATATTAAATTAGATTTTAAAATAACCCTTTGATCTTTTTTAGATGCATGCATATTAAATTAGATTTGCCTAATTTTATTATTTTAAAAAGGTTGCATATTAAATTACATTTTTAAAAAATCTTTTGATCTTTTTATTAAAAGCATGCATATTTAATTAGATTTGCCGAATTTCATTTAATGATTTATAATGTTTGCATATTTAATTAGATTTTTAAAAAATCCTTTGATCTTTTTTTTGGCTGCATGCATATTTAATTAAAAATTTGAATTCTCTTTTGATCTTTTTACGATATGCGTGCATAATTAATTACTTAAAACTAAAACAACATAAAAAATTGGTGTAGGGGCTAGTCTATAAAAGGGTTCATTTTTAAAAATATTATATCATTTAAATAATTTATATAATTTAGTTTTATGAAAATAATTAGTTATTTAGTTGAAGTTTAATTTAGTTGAAGTTATTTTTCGAAATATTATCTTTTCGAAAAATTTTTCGATATATTTTTAAAATTTTTGTCCAACATTGTTTAAATTATTATTTCAATATTTTCCTAAAAATTTTCTCGAAAAATTCACGTATCTTAATCATTTATCGCGTGCTCAATATTATTAATAACTACTACACCATATCTCATTTTAATTTTTATCACTTTTTTCTCATTTATATAAAATAGATTTGGCATATTGCCTAATAAAGATTTTATTTAATTCAATTTTTTTATTCTTAAAGCTAATCATTTTGAAGTTTGCATATTTAATTAAGATGTTTGAATTTTTATCTTTTATGGATTGGTGCGTATTTATTAAAAAAATATTAATTTATTTTTGATTTTTATTACTTGTGGATATTTAATTGGATTTTTGAATTTTATTGTATTTTGATCTTTTATAATTTGCATGCATTATGCAAGCATATTTAATTAAATATTTTAATTTACTTTTATTATTTGACATAAATACTTATTTAATTAGTAATTTAAAGTTTTATTTACTATTTTTGAAATACATGCATATTTAATTAAAAATTTTAAATTTTTTTTGTTCTTATTTTTTGACATGCATGATAATTGATTATTGAATTATTGAAACGCGCATAATTAATTAATCTTCCGATAATAATGTCAAATTAGAATTTGGTATAGGATTTTGCATATAAAAGCGGCCATTTTTTAAATTTATATCATTGTTACAATAATATTTTTTTTTGTAATTCAGTTAAAGGTTACTGAAAACTTACTAAAAATTATTTTATTAAAATGCAACAACTTTCAAAAAATTCTCGAAACTTCTTTATTGCTAATCTTCTAGGATTACAACAGGGAAGTGGCTACAATGCTGAACGTTATGTTGAACGATTAAACGATTCAATATGGCACAATTCAAAATTTAATGTTACAAAAACGTATTCAAAGTTTATGATCAAGGATGTTCCTGCCGATGCCGAGTCTCTTCTCTCTGGTAATTAAAAACTTATTTTCAATAAATTACCAATTTCAGGAATTTTCCAATTTTGTGTTGATGAAGCTATGGAACATGCTAAGGGAAATA